GGGATTTATTTTTGCTTCAGCTCATACTGGAGAAGCTACAAAACATGCCTGGACGCTTTCTCTGTTTTGGGATTGTCTCGTTGCAACAAAACTGACAATGGCAGTGGATATACTAGCAATGGCTTTGCTCGCTTCTGTGCACGATTTCGTATTTCCCATAAGATTGGCATTCCTTATAATCCCCAAGGTCAAGGTATTGTAGAAAAAGCTCATGGTACTTTAAAAGCTGCTGTACATAAAATCGGGGAGTTGTATCCCCTGACACCACATAATTATTTAAAACATGCCTTATTCGTACTTAATTTCTTAAATGTGGACAAACAAGGATCTAGTGCAGCTGAACGATTTTGGCATACCAAAACACAATCTCATTATACCACAGTTATTTGGAAAGATCCTTTAACGGGATCATGGAATGGGCCCACCCCTGTGTTGATATGGGGTTGAGGACATGTCTGTGTTTTATCGCAGGACAATGATGGAGCTTGCTGTCTTCCAGAACATTTGGTGTGGTTTATGGACACCCCAAAAGGCCAGGAGAATGCTGTGCTTATGGATCTGCCTGAAGATGGTGACATTTGTTGAGGCAGAAATCTACTGGGCATATGTACCTAATCCACCACTCCTGCACCCCATGGTATGGGAACGCCATCACATTCCCATATCAGTTAATCACACCCGTTTTCTGGGACATCTGTATGTGGGTCAGAGTGATATACAAAGTTGGCCGGGGTTTAATTATACTGCACAGCGTGAAGGAATGCAAATTTGTTTTTCCATAAGTAAATTACCGGGGTGTGTTCTTGTGGAACAGAGAACTATTTCCGGAGGCAATCAGACAGTCCGCATGATGGCTCCTCAATCAGAAAACAACTCTGTTAATGCAATAGAACCTCAGTATCTTCCCCCTTGTGCCAAAGAAGATCGCTTGAACAATCGGACTTTACTATGGAAAGAATGCTGTAATGAAACACCCTTAAAATATCCCATTCAAAACTGGTCGGACATGTTCATCTTAGACTGGGTGGGGCCTTCAAATCTGTACTCCCGCAATGGCTTAGTGGCGGGTGCGTGGGTCTCAAGCCTTGGAATACATCAAAGATATCTATGGAAAATTGCAGCGGCCATGGGAGATTTTGGGTCGTTACAAAGAATAGCAGCTGCTTGTGTCCATCCACCTTACCTTTTCCTCCAA